TCGTCAATTGCAATAATTATAACTTCAGTAATAATATAAAAAATAAAAAGTAATAATAATAACATTAATAATACTAATTAAAGAGTAGAGACATGAGAGCATATTAATCAGTAATTATAGAGATGTATCGCTTGATTTAAAATTTAACATTTGAGTTAACAGATTATTTATTTTTTATTATTTTTATAATATAAATATAAATATAAATATAAAACTATTTTTAATACTGGTTTAGGATTTTTTCTATTTGTTCTAAATATCTAATATGCAAACTAAAAATTTATGGAAAATTTTTTGAAGTAGATAAATTATTTTCAAATCTTTTATTTATGTGAAATTAATTTCGAACTGGATTTTTAAAATTTTGTTTATAAATTTTCCACTGAATTTCATATATTGACATTTATTGCATAATGTTTTTTATAAATGCTTATATATTATTATACACCCAAAAAAAAATTTCTTTTTGTGATTTTCTTCTTATTTTATAATTCAGATACTCAAAGGGCTTTTTATTAATTTTTTGATATATTGATTGGCTAATTAAAAGTTTTAAAATTTTAATATGCAAAAATCACAAAATAAACAAATTATTTGCATATAAAAAATTTGAGAAAAAATTTAGTAGTCAAAAATCGTGCAAGTCCGTGTTTGGCTACGCAATCACATGAATCTCAAATAATTTATGGTGTTTTCGAGCTTAAAATATATAATCTAAACTAATTAATTAAGTTTTGAATTTAAAAATTTAAGCACGAAGTTAAATAAAACTTAAATTAATGTATTTATTTTTTAAATATTTCCATGTTTTTACGAACTATTTTTACTACTGGAATGCAAGTTGTTAAATATTTTCTATGACTTGGACTAAGCATTTCCAAGATTCAATCTATTTAATATTTATTTAATTTTGTTGATTTATGCATTTTATTTATTTTATTAACTTAACTTTATTATGTTTTCAGCAATTAAAAATATAAACAATTTCGTTGCTTTGTTCTAAAAAAAATTCTAAAAAAATTCGCTGAGAACGTTTTTCTTCGTGACATTCGCAATGAAAAATCACACCAGAATCGCCCGTCATCGCATTTTTGCTGTAAATTATTTTAAAATGTTTTGAAATTAAAATTAAAATGAACTGAAATTCGTAGATTTGTATTATTTTTTAGGCACGTCTTTTGTCATAAAGATTCATTTTGATTTACATTTCACTCAAAGTCAAAATATAAATGAGAAATTTCTACAAAATTTTACTTGCAATTAAACAATTAAGAAAATATATGACGTTGGCAGCTCCAAGCGTTATAATTGCTAATGTATCTAGATACTTTTAGACTCTTCAACGAAATAATCTTAAATGCTTTTATAACTATTTATAAGATTAGAAGCAAGAAACTAAATTGCCTTAAATTAGAAGATACGTTTAATTAAAAACGTATCTTCAATTCATATATGGACAGGTTGACATAAGGAAGTCAATTCTCTACATAAGTAAACAGTCTTAAACGGTATTTATTTATATACTTGTGACTATTCTTTGAGTTCCAGTTTCGGAAACTGTTATTTTTATATCACTTGGTATCGTAATTTATAAGTCCGCCATCGACAAAACCATTATATTGTATAGTACTTCACAGAATATAGCTCTATTATATTGGTGTACTGAAGACATAGAGATATGTGTATTACGTTAAGCGTAATGGTTTACCTAATGTCGATTGATATCATCAGCACACTTTGTTTTAAAACTTAAATTCTTAGATAATTTGTTACTGGAAATATCTAAATATTTTAGAACTCTTTATCACTACAGCGTCATTCCGATGGAAGTATTTAAGAGAAACGTGTTTTACAATAAATTTCATAAAGAATAGGAATGTGTTTGTACTATTAGATACTCAAGTTACTTCAAAATTCTTGAGTGCAATCTAAATAATATACCGCTTTGACCACTTTGCAAAACCATAGGATTGATCTCAAAAGTGTATTTTACTTATAGATGTAGAGTTACTATATAGGGTAATTGAGTAGAAGAAAACTTAACCATATATACATATAGCACTAAATTAAATATCGCTGTAAGGAGTGGCGTGTTCTGTTAGGAACTGAATATGTCTATATGTTACAGACTTCTTAATCATTACAGCGTCTTTTTAACGGAAGTTTTTAAAAGAAGTCATGGCGTTAGAAGGCCTCTCTCATTCTGGAGCATCGCAAAATACATTGAGAATTTCAGATGGTTTCAAACCCATCAAAAATATTTAACTCTAACACAATAGGTTAATAGGTATAAGTAAATTGGTATCATGGAGTGTTGACATCGTAGATCCTTATGATCGTAGTCTTGATCGATACTTAGAGCTGACTTCAACTAAGATAATATTTCATATATTGTATATTTGTAGATTAGATTAGTATAATAATATTACTATACCAAACATAAAAGTGTGTGTACTGAAAAATTATATCGCGTGCAGTATTCTTTAACTAAAATTTAGAAAAGCTATGATTTGATGAAGCAGCTATATCTTTCATATTGATTAATCCTTTTTTACATTCATCAGCAGTCTAACCTGGTATATTGACGCTGGGCTTCTGGTTTGGCAAGGCAGTCAGCCTTTTCGTTGCGTTTTTACTAGGCTAGTAAAGAAAAGTGATGAAGAGATTAGGAGAGTAAGATAGTAGCAATCATATTATCTTAACAATATAAAATTTATATAAAATACTTTTAAAAATTGTAAAAAGAATATAATAAAAACCTATAATCTTGATATTAAACTCCATAAAATCTCACAGCTTCAATGATTTTTACTAAGAATAATTTTGTTACTCATACGCCACGATCGATCCATGGTGTGTTAATATAAATTTCTTCTTGAGAAGTGCAATAGCAATTAAATTAGAATTGTTTAATATAAACTGCATAAGAATAATTAACCTTTTTATAATTGCTATTATTCTTTTTAATTACGTAGCGGTACGATTATATTTTAGCAGAATCACTCGCGTCTTTCTTCGATATTTGCAGTTCTTCGTTCAACGTCAATTTTTTATGGCGCAAACTAACTTTTTAAACCAAAAGATATATTTTGCTAATAAAATCTTTAATTAATTGAAATTATTTTTTTTTTAATCTATGCTTACAATTTCTTAGAAACTATGTTTTTGCTGATTTATTTCAATTAAACATTTCCGCCTTGAGTCTTCAAACTTGTTCGTGATGATCATCAAAACGAATCTTCATACAATCTTGACATTTAATGAAAATGATCAACAAAATTTAGATAAATATAGAAATTATTAAACATTTATTTATGTACTTAATAATGATGTTTTACCTTAAATAAAAATTCATATCTCAATATGTTTAATTAAAATAATTAGCAAGTGAGAAAATGAAGGGTTTTAAATGCAATTCCGGATGCTTAGCTTTGTTAGCAACAAGAAAAAAATATTATATACTTTCTTTTTATAGGAAAAGATACATCTAAGAATCACTTGTAATAGAGAGGAATTTGAAATAACCGAGAAACAGCTGTTCCATTTTTATCACCAAGAACTCAAACTATAGTTGTTGTGTACTTTTATGTATATAAGTCAAGTAAATAAAATATCAATATGTGAGTAAAGTACAATACAAAATACAAAATAATATAATATGTAGAGTAAACGTGTGTTACCACATACCATATTATATACTACTTATATACGAGCATACAGGGTGTTTCTGATTTATTCAGCATAATTGTGAGGAAGGTGATGGCGCATATTTAGGGGTTTATTATGGTTCTAAATTGGTTTTATTGGAAATTGTTTAACTAGGAAATGTTTTTTGAGTTGAGATCTTGTAAATACTCTGTATTGTATGCTGAAAACTCACGATCCACTTCCATACAATTTTTTTCGTTTCTTTGATCAAGGAATCATTTTCCATGTTTATGCCGAAGAAATCAAAAATAAGGCGTGCAGAAAACTGTAGGACAGATCGCTTTAAGTTCTTATTATAGAAAATTATACATTGATCACTAATCATTAGAACTTTTGGGAGATCATCCAATTACTTTCAACAAACTATTTTGGAGATAATTATAGATAATCACCTCATTTAATGAGTTATATACTATTATATTACTATTATACTATATAATAGAACATAATAGAAATCAGCAATGGGCTGTCAACAGAGCAGAGCACTGTGATCTTTTGTGCGGACCATTGACTTTATGGAATAGAAGAGCGTGTTCCTTTTGAGTGAGGACATCGCTGGAAATTTTATTACATAAAGATGGGCATATGTAAAATTCCCAGCTAGAACGAGTATTCTCTTCTTGGTCAGCACAGTCACAAATAAGCAAAGCTGGTACTCTCCCTTTCTCTCTCTTTAGAAAAATTGTCATCGCCACTGAAGGCTTATATTAAGCCATGCTGAATAATTTTGCAAAAGTGTGTTACCTCATCAACAAGACCATGTTGCTTCAAGTCTGTAACGCTGGACTACTTTCTTTGCGCATACTTTTATTTGTTGATCTATGTGGACAAATCAGCAATGATTTCATGCCTGAAAGTCCCCACTGTTTATGAAATCTGATTTCGAATTATTAAAAAGGTAGTGCTTCACGTACGATTATATACCTTAAACTCTTTCTCATCAATAATGCATTGAAATTTTCTACCGAATAAAACAGTATATTTATATTTATTTTACTGCAATTTAAAAATTCTATACTTCTTAAAACACCCTTTATAAGTGAAAAATTATTAAAAATAATGAATTTCAGTTGTTAGTTTTCTATATCTATATGATATATCTTACATATTTGTATTTATATAGTATTATTTAGTCTATACACATTTCATATAATATTTAACCGCAATGATTGAATGCTGATACTGCATCTTGCAGTAGCTTTGTTTGTGGTTAATATTTTATAGTGAATCTCAATTTATCAGTAACTTTTATTAGTTTTTCATTGAAAATTTTTATTTTTTTTTGATTACAGCTACGACGAAATGGTGGCCAATGGAGACACAAAACCGTCTGACATATCGAATGCGCTGGAATATCCGCAAATGCAGCAACCAGCGCAGAAAAAGAAGCGTTTGAGTTGGTCCGAAAGATTAAATGTTATAATACGCAACATAACTGTTGAACCGATGCTCGCCTGCTATATAATGCCCAGTGTCCTCTCCAGTTTGGCTACGCAGAATCTAAATTTGGAGAAGGCATGCCGAGTGAATATGAATTATGGTGATACGGTTTGCGATGCACTGACGCGTAGAGAAACGGCCAACTACACTCTGTAAGCTTATTAAAATGAACTTTATTTCAGAAACAGTCCTTAAAGTTTTTTCTTCTCCATTTTCAGTGAAGAAGAAACCGTCCAGCAAATGGTAGCACGTATGGTTGCATGGAAAACGATTATTCAATCACTTTTTCCTTGCTTGCTGATTTTATTCTGGGGTTCATGGAGCGATCGTCATCATCGACGAAAGCCCTGCATATTAATACCGATTGTGGGTGAGTTCATTGGCATTGTAGGCTTAATGCTTTGCGTGTATTATGAGCGTACACCCATGCAAGTTGTGGCATTGGCAGAATCGATAGCACCATCTCTTAGTGGTGGCTGGTTTACAATGTTAATGGGGGTCTTCAGTTATATAGCTGATATAACCACCGAAGAGCAGCGTACGTTGCGTGTGGGTATATTAAATGTTTGCTTTTCGGTGGGTGTTCCCATTGGTATGGCGTTTAGTGGAGTACTATTGAAGTAAGTACTCCAAAATTTTTATAATTTTAGTTTTATATATAAACGATCGCCTCGTTCTTTTTCAGAAAAATTGGTTTCTATGGTATTTTCTCTATATCAGCAACATTGTACCTCCTATCCTTCTTTTATGGTCTTTTCTATTTACCTGAATCAAGACCAAAACCCGAAAAAAGTGCAGAGATATCAGAACGGAAAAGCCTGTTGCGTGATTTCTTCGATAAGAAACACGTTGTAGACACATTCAAAGTGGCATTTAAGCGGGGTGAAAATCAGCGCAGAAAGCGTGTTATTCTTCTCATGATTGTAGTCATGATAGTCATTGGTCCGCTACATGGTAAGCATAAGTCTGCCTATCCTTAGACCCTTTGTAATTGTAATTTTTGAATTTCAGGTGAACTGACTGTCACATACCTCTTCACAAGATATCGTTTTAACTGGAATGAGGTGGACTTCAGTATTTTTTCCACTTTCGCTCTTCTCACAGGTTTAGTGGGTGAGTATAGAAATGGATTTATATATCTTTTAAAATTTTATTGTATTTATTTTAATTACAGGTGTGCTCTTCTGTGTGGGTGTACTTTCGCACAAACTTAGAATCGATGATGCTTTAGTGGGTGTCATCTCCAGTACATCGAAAATTCTCTCTGGTTTTGTTTATGCATTCGCAACAGTGCCTTGGCATATGTATTTGGGAGGTGTTGTAGAAATTTTCAATGGCACCTCCTTCATAGCGATGCGATCGATTGCCACGAAGTTAGTGAACAAAGATGAGCTGGGGAAAGTGAATTCCCTGTTTGGTGTTGCAGAGGCTTTGATGCCTATGGTTTTTGGTCCAATGTATACCACACTCTATGCAGCTACTCTTACCACTCTGCCGGGTGCTTTTTATTTGCTTGGCGGTGCTTTAACGGTGCTGTCTGTTATAATATTTTTGTAGGTTTTTTATAAATTATGTAGTGATTTATTATATTATTCATTAATTTTTATTCCTAGGTGGATGTACAACTTCCAACGAAAAATGAATCGGCTAAGACAAAACTCTGATCAGGAGAGCGTGAAAGTGGAACAGTCTACGGACACGAATGGCAATATAAATACAATTGAAGCTATTGCCATTGCCAGTGAGGCGAGGGGCAAAATGAATGCTGTTGTTACAAATGTGATACATGAGAATTTAGAGCATGTGGACTCTGTGGAGGCGGAGGGCAAACAGAAACCGCAGCTCAATGGTGTAGATAATAAGGCATATATGCTAGATGCTGGAGATGAAAAGCCTACAAAGCTTTGAATTTTGTGATGATTTTTAGTATTAGTCAAAAAAAGATTTTTATTTTTATTTTTATTGAAACCAAAATTTTAAGTTTAGTTTAAATTTTAATCTAAGCGAATTTCTGTATTATAAATATTATTTAATAAATTTATTTGATATTATGTTAGTTATAAATGTTGGTGTAAACATTTTTTAAGACTAATTAAGTATGGTTTTATGTTCAAAAATGTTGAAAGTTGAAGTATTGTCTTATGTCCAAAATAATTTTGTTCATTTATTCTTTTTTCTCATATGAAATGATAATACAAAGTGAGACAAAAATCCATATTGTAACAATAATAATTTTTTGATTCCTTCTAATACAATAATATTAAATTTTAATAGGTATGAAGTGATATATAGTTTCTCACTTTTATTGCTGATTTATTTAACTTTGAATCTAAGTTCGAACTTGACTTTCTCTATAAGTTTTTGCAGTACAATGAATAACTTAAAATGCATTTTAATTTATTTCAATAAATAAGCTCAAGCTGATGTTCTAGAATGCAAATATGTTTCTTAGAGCCGGTGCACTTCAGTTTCCATATAAGTTTCCACATAAAGGCAAGATGCATCACATCAGCTATAACCAACAATCCATTAAATCTAGACTTCCAATGAAAATAGTGATTAGTTATTTCAAGCCTTCATTAATTACGGTAGAATTAAGGACTTGAACAGTTCAGTGCTCTCCGTTTATTATGTTCAATCGCAGTAGAAGTGTATGCCATTATTCCACCTATGCCAATTTTCACCTGTAAATTCTCGCTAATGTCAAAGACCTACGGGAAGAATCGAGGGAATTTTATTTTTTTTTGGCAAAGGTTACTTCCACCCAGATTGATTGAAAAATTACTCTTTCTAAGGTCACCGAACCTAAATTATTATTTTATTTTCTTGTTTTATTTTTGGAGCAGTCAAAATTCTTATTGTGTTTTAAGGAGATTTTTTTAATTAAAACATTCTCTCTTTTTTAATAGCGACTAATGTAGTTGGTCCTTTTTAAAAGTGTCATAAGATTATTATATGACACCTATAAAGTTGTTCAACAGTATAGTCTCTATCATCACATCAATTATTTTTTAATATGACTCCATTTAAACGCAAGCCCACTGCTCTTAGTCTATAGTCCTTTGTTAGTCGAGAAGCTTTAATAAAAATCATTGCAAATTTGATGAAACTTAACAAATTAAAAACTCGATTGAATGGCACAAAACATTCCAAAATGCAACAATTTTCGAATTTTCCATCTATTGGCTTTCGAAAGGAATGGCACCGCATAATACCACACAGCAACAAATTCTTCCTGTGCCATCTGCAAAATATCACACAATAACAACAACAAGAAGAACAACAACATCAGTAAAACCAGCAGCAACAATTGAAACTAAAGATGAGCCAATTTAACAAAAATTGTTCAATTGGCGGCGTTGGGTCTGCCTGGTCTGGGCGTTCTCAGTTTCATGACTTCACTGCAAACACGCAAGGAGGCGCCATTAAACCACGCGCTTCCCTTCAAAAACTCACAGTCACTAAATTGCCATTTAGTAGAGACACACGAGTTGCGAGATACTCACTGATGGCATATCACAGTATCCGTATCTGTATCTGTATCAACATTAACATCAGCAACAGTATCTGTATCTGTATCGGTATCGGTATCAGTTTCGGTATCTAACGCAACCTGCATTTAGCTTGGCAATTGAGTTGCTCACGCTGTTGCTGGCGACCGACCGATAATTGGCATTCATGTCGTTGGCGGTGTACAAGTGATGCGATGCGATACGATGCGATGCGATGTTCCCTTGTCTTGCCTCGCTGCACTAACGACGATTACGCGTATCTGTTAACCAAACCGATACATGTCAGATACAAAACAACAACTTCGGCAAGAGCAGCAACAACAACAACAACAACAACAGTAAGGAGCATAACAATAACTGCAAATGTTTTTATTACAATGAAGTGCATTTTGGGGTTTCTGCGGTGCTGCCTTTGCAATTTTATTTTCATTTAATCGCAGTGCCACGCCCGCCAAAACAAGCTTTGATGCTTTTAATTGCTTTCCTTTGGCGTTTCGTCGTTGCTGTAGAGTTTTTAATTGAGATTTTTAGTGTTTTAATTGAAAACGATTAAAAGGATCAACCGGAGCAGTGCTGCCAATGCGCTCGATTATTAATTATTTTGTCAAGAAAGTAACAGTCAACCGAAATGGCTGAGTTGCTGCGTAGATCTGTGGGCGTAGATAGGAGTTGCGATAGACATTAGGGTTTGTTAATTAAAAGATTTTCAAAAAGACCAAATAGGGAGCGGTTAAGGTTTAATGCTTGAACTGGAATTAATATTGCAATGATTGTACAGTGAGATTGCCATAATGTGGACTAATTTTAGTAAAAGTTTTCAAATAGAATTTATAATAATTTACATAGGTGTGTGTATAATATTGGCTAGAAGCTCTAGTTGTAGAGTTAATATAGTATGAAATTGTTTGAGAGCAGTAAATTATGTAGAAAGAAAGATCTTTAGAACATATTGTGCTATCATAATCATATCCTTTTGACTGAAAAATATATTAGTTTTGACGGAGTGAAAGTAAAGAAGGCGATGAAGCTCATATAGAAAATACATTTTACTTTTGTTGGAGAGAATGGGACCGACAGATAAATTCAAAAAAAGAGTATAATAAAAATTTGTTAAATATATTTGGGGTTTTAGATTTTGTCCAGAAAAAGGAAACGATTTATTAGTTTTGAAAATAATTTTAGTTCTCAGTATAAACTTTCTTAACTTCAATATACTTAAATCACTCTCTCTCTCTCTAATTTATGGATCCCATCTATGTAATGGTTTTCCACCGTTTCTCCATTTCATGTATTCCAACTCTGTAGTAGGTTTTCGGAAGCAAGATACTCTTTAACGGCAGTTATTACTCCTTTAATTTATAAAAATAGCTTTCAATAAAATAAACTTTTTGATATTTAAGAAGATCAAGTATACGAAAAGCCTAAATTTGGCAAATAGGCTACTTGTTCCTTATTTAAATTATTTTACTAATGACAAATGTTTTTTTCGTAAACTGTGTAATTTCACAAGTTTTTGGTGAATAGGTGATACTCCGTGAATTTATTAAACAACATTGTAGACTTATGATATTTCATAGCAACTATACTGAGTAACTGCGAAAATGAACTTATATGTATATAGTATGTCTGATTAAATGAAAGTAACTGTTAGATATTAAGATTCACTTGATCCAAACTGAACTAAAAATATGCTAGTCAGCTGCTTCAACCAAAACAGAACCTGTTCACATCTACGGTATCAGTGCTGACAAGTCACTTCTTACTGGAAAGACATGCTATGAGATTTAGCTTTGAGATCTTATAATTACGCCTTCTTTGGAAACACCCATAAAAAATATTTTGGGGTACTTTCTGATGGAGCCATCAGCCTGCAAAATTAGGGACTTAGTTAAGTCTTTAGGACTTAGTTTAGAATTATCGACTAGTTCAGATCTGCTTGAATGGAGCTCATGACATTCAACGTTTTTCATACATTGATCATTGTTTTCCTTTTAGGTGTCCATTTGGTCTGTGTATGAACAACTCTAATCCGTGATATCATAGTGGATCATTTTTTAAGCTTATGTGGGCAATGGGTCAATCTTTAACTTTTAAGCTTTCGTGTAAAAGGCCGTCACATCAACCTAAGCTAACTTAATATATAAATTATATCTATCGAAATTGACGTAGAAAAGTATTTAAAAAAAACTCAATGTTAGTGGTTGTAGAACTATACACTAGTTCTAGTAAGAAAGTTCTCTTGTACAATTCATTTGGTATAATTTAGAAAACATTTTATATTACGTGTTTATTTAGAATTTCATTGAAATATTATTTATTCCTAACTGGAACTTATTTCAGTCGACAAATATAAATATCGATAGTTTCCTGGGTTATATCGAATCAAATCCAATTATAGAAATTATAAAAATTTTCCGTTGAAAAACGGAAATCTATGCCATATTTAAAACAGCAATTTTAATTTGGTGTAAAATAAAATGTCGTATTCCGTTTTAATGAGAAGAGACCTTTTCCAAATGAATTGTTTTGGCTTAAATCCCATCTCGATTAATACAGTCGCAATGTTGTAAGGATTTTTGTGTCCTGCGACCAATGTTTACAACTAAAACAAATCCGTATTTTGCCATTCGTTATCGAAGACCGTATAACAAGTATTGTTACGGTCATTTTGTACGGTCTTTGTTGAAATTCGCTTGAATAACAAAGAGAGCAACACAATTTGTGGTACGTAATGTTAATAACATCATATAAGACTTTCGGTAACATAAGAAATAACAGAAAACAATGAATGCATAGCAGAGCTTTGATATTTCTGCTATGTTATTTCCACTAGTATAATAAAAGTTTGTTTAAATATTAAAAAAAATGTTTATATTTATTTAAAAAATTGTAAACATTTTTTCGTATTTTAAATATTACTATATATCCATTGCAGTTTAGAAGAACAGTAATCGAAATTATATATATTTTATTTTTAACATAACTGCCTTACAAGGCTTAGCTGCTAGCTATGTAAAGAAATCAATAGTTAGCTAAATTAGACTGAATTATAAGGCGATCCAAATAAATTGAGAATAAAGTGGGCCTAACTTAGAAATTTGTTTGAAGAAAGTTCCGGTAGTTTAATAAAGGATGCTATACCAGTATGAACTTAGATTATAGATATCTGCTCAGGAACGACTTTTTATGCCCACAAATGTTGTCATTTACTCTAAATGGAGTAAATTAATTCGTACAGACCTCCACTATATACTCATTTGTTAAGGATTGCCTCCAAACGATTAATCTCTCCTATCACTAAAGTAATTAAAACTTAACAATCTGAAATTTAAATTGAAAGCGAAGAACAGTATATTGAGGATCATTTTATGAGATCGAAGTATATTATGCTACGTGTATTATGTTTTATGCGGCGATTGTTTCTGAAGCTCTACATTTGTTAGGACTAATACCAAACCTACCAAAAAGGCAATTAGTCCCATATTG